CATCTCCCTTATGTTATACAGACGTTAAATGTCGTCATTTCTATTAAGGAAAATTCTTAAACCTTGAAAATACTAATTTCTAAACTGTTTTGTAAAGTTATACTCAGGAGGTTTATACTTTATGTTTTTGCAAAAGGCAAGTTTCAAAATTGAAAAACAGAAAGTAATGTGCATTTATTTTGCATTTGTTTTTTGGTTTTTTTAAGATCTTCATGTATACACTAAAATATCTACAAACTCATGAATATCTCCTGGATGTGGATCTATGGAGACTTTTTGCAAACCTGGAGGAGTTAAGTCAGGTGAGCCAAAGTAGGAAGATGGCAGTAGACATGTTTTAAAATTCATCAGAGGATCGTGACAATGCATACTTGTTCTATTTCTGTGGCTTGTATTCCATACTGAAATTTGGAATATGGTTTATTCAGCCATATAATTTTATGATCAGGAGGTTGGGTTTATAAGAAGGAAACCTAAACATTGACATCTTTCCAATAGATTGCAGATATCAGCCTTCTGTAACATTTTTTATTTTTCCTTGGCTGTTTTAGAAAGTAAACTTATTCCTCAGATCTCCATCATCTTCATAAACTTTTAGTCTCAAATGAATGTCTTTTTCTCACATATATTTTAAATAAATATCTTTCCTTTAAAAAGGAAGGAGAGGGTCAAAAGGAATTTATTTATTTTAAAAATACTTAGAAAATATATATTGAAAAGGAAAATAAATCTGGATTTTGCCAGGAGATAAATTTGAAATGGCAAACAGCTATAAGCATGATATTTGAAGTTCATCAAATGTTTGTTCCTTACCCCTGGGTGTGTGCCTACTCTTGCGTCCTTTCTCTCTGGCCCCTAGACAAGCTTTCGTTTTGTGACCAGTCTTTTTGCCATCATCAAAGACTACATCGATGCTTCTGAGACTTCACCATCCATGGACTTCATTTCTGTGCTCACGAAGGTAAAATCCTCCTGGGAGATCTCAGCTTCATGCAATAAATTCACCTACCTCCCAAGACAGGTGTTAATAGCTACTTGGTTTTCTGTTTTTGTTGTTCCTGGAGAAGTGCCACTAGCGCCCTCCCACAAAGGAACCATCCCTTTCTCCACTAATCAGTGTTTTCAACAATAACTTACCGATTCTGTTTTTTCCATTGTCACCTCTCCTGGGTGGGTTTTATTAACACAGAAATCTGCACACATGGAACAGGCATTTCCAAGTTTGTTTTTTAAATGACTTCAATTTAAAGCAATATTCATGGCAATAGTTTGTGTAGGCTAATTACATGGTTCAGTTGTTCTTTTAACAAAAGTGCTAGTCTCTCAGAAAGGAACAAAATAAACCTTCAAGCCCATCAACACCCTTAATAGAACTTCTGTGTATGAAAGAAGAAGACAAGAGGAAAACCTAAAGCCCTGATTTGATAAATGCTATTTATTTCTTGAGTAGCTATTTGGGCCTTCTCTCTTGTCATTTTTACTTTGAGCTTTTAAATCCAGTCCTTATGTATTCTCATTTAGCAAGATTGGAATTTTACAATCCATTTAAAAAAACATAGACTGAGATTTATTGAGCGCTTACTAAATGCTTAAATGTGGGGCTGATACCCTGTACACAATAAATCTGCAAAACCAGACACACCATTACTCGTGAGGAGTTTCCAGTCTAATGGGGGAGAAATTAATTCAGTCATAAATAACAGTAATAATTACATAATCAAGTTGAGATCAATGCTGAGGAACAAAGGAACATAGATATCATGAAGGAAAGATTTTAGGTTCGGCAGATGACGAAGTAGTTATAGATTGGAAATTCTTTCTGGGGCAAAGATGTTTGAGGTGAGATATGAAGGAGGCGTATTCAACAAGGCAAAAATAAGCAGGAAACTAGGTGTAAAGTAGGGAGATCCATTAGTAAACTCTGAAAACAGATTTGAATAAGAAAAGCTTTGAAAAACAAGAGAAAGAATGAAAAGTGTTGAGAAATAGCTAAAATCTTTCTCTAGCCAGAAAGGTTTTTTTTAGTTTTAAGGAAGTAGTATGGAGAAATACCAACTTCTCATCAAAACACATGAGTTGTCTTAGTCTGCTCAGGCTGCTATAACAAAACATTACAGACTGGGTGGCTTATAAACAACAGAAACGTATTTCTCACAGTTCTGGAGGGTGAAAGCCTGAGATCAGGATTCCAGAATGGTCGGGTGAGGGCCCTCTTCCAGTCACAAACTTTTCATTGTATCCCTCACATGGTGGAAGGGGCTGGAGAGGTCTCTGGAGCCTCCTTGTAAGGACATTAATCTCACTCATGAGGGCTCCACCTTCATGAACTAATCATCTCCTGAAGGCCCTACCTCCTAACACCATCACATTGGAGGTTAGGATTCAACCTATGAATTTGAGGGTGAACAAACACTCACACCACCGGATAAATGCACTTACAGCCTACTTAAGCATGGGATATTAACAGACTCTTTACTAAAGGTCTATAATATTATATAACCAACATATGAATGCTTCATAGTCTGTTACAGGTATGCAAAGATGGATTATTCAAGTTTTTTCTAAATTTAAAAGGTCCTTTATCAGTCAGGTTAGATTTACTTGTACCAGAGTAACATTCCCCAGATATCAATGGCTTGGTTCATGTCTCACTTATGCTGTGCTCCTACTTTGTTACTGTCCTCACTCTGGGGCCTATGCTGAGGGAGCAGCCACCACCTGGAGTGTTACCAGTCACCGTGGCAAAGACATAAGAGACAGGGACAGAGCACTCACTGACTCCAAGTTTCTGCCTAAAGCAATACATGGCACATCTATTCCCATTTCATCAGCCAAGGAGAGTCACATGGCCCACCTTCCATGAGGTGGGCACATATCATCCTCCCCAGGAAGGGGAAATAGATAAGCAGTGACATAGCCTCACAAGAAGCTCATCAGCTGGGAGATTGGGACATTTTGTTATTCACACATGAGCTATGTGAGCAAGTCCCTGAGAAGAAAACTGAGGCTTGGAGAGGTTAGTTAACATGGCCAAGGTCACACTGCATTGTGGTACTGGATTTCTAGGCCTGACCATATATGGTCTTAACAGTTGCCTCTTAGTAATGACATTTCTCACACGCCCTGTGGAAAGACCTTCCCTGTATCTCCATGCTGTCGACAACCCTCCTCACCCTCAAAAATAAATCCACATCATTGTCTTTCAAATTACTCCTTGCTCGAGTCAAAACTTGGCATTTTTCCCCATAGCATTTTCTCATCTGTCTTATAACAAAATATTTGTCTAATTTTTGTTGTCTCTGCCTTTATCACTGTCACTTCCTTTGGTGGCTCTTTAGACTGGGTCTGCTTTCTCTACTCACTGTAGTTCTAACATTACCAAAAGGTGCATCTTCCTTCTCTCATTCAGCCACATGATGATACTATTGGAAACTCCTTAATGGGACCCACTATTCGCTATGTTAATCAAAAAACCCATCAAGGAGCACATGGGCTTAGCAACATGGGAGGCACTACCTGAAGAGAATGTCTGACAAGAAGGAGACAGAAACATTGGTGAAGAGAAAAGAATATCTCATTGCCAAAAAAGATGCTAACTGAGATAGTGGCACATTGTGTGATGTGCTCAGTTGATCATTTTATATGTGAATATACTGGGGGTGCCAAAAAACTGCATACAAGTGGACACTTTGGTTAACGTTGCTCAAGCAGTAGTTCGCCATAATCAGAAGTCTCTGGACACTGATGGTAACCACTTTTAACATCTCTTGTAATTGCAGAAGTTAAATGTGACTTCTATTCATCTTTTATTATCAGTATATATTATTATAATTTTAATAGTTTTTTCCTTTCTTAAAATGTGTATACGTTTTTTGGCACCCTCTGTATTCATATAAATTGGCCACTTGCTTTATTCTAAAATAAATTTCAGATGGCTTACAAATGGTGGTCACTACAGCAAGTCTAAGACATTAAATAAAAATTATGAAGAAAAGGGAAGGTAAGTGTTAGGTTGGGTAAAATTGCTAAATAAAATGCATGCTGTTAAACACAGTACACTTATTAAAGGTGCCCCAAATTTGAGTCTACAGTATTCATAGCCAGCAGGTGAATTAAGTTCATGGATATTTTTGAGGAAGATTTGACGAGAAGTTAAATGTTGTTACTTTAATCGCTTACTACCAAGACAAGCACAGTATCTACCAACATAAACATTGGAATCACACACAATATTTGTTATCAGGTACCATACAGGAACTGTAGGCCTTGATAAAGCATAAACAGAAGGAAAAGGTGAACTAAATCAAGATGTCCTAAACAGAATTTAAGTATGAAGGGAAAAGACAATTTATTGAGAAGCTAATTGTTTATTATGGGAATACCATTTTTTGAAAGAATATTTATTGTGAAGATAACCCATTTGTATTCACACAGTCATAACTCCTGCTTGATAATGGTGACTCCTCCACTTTTCCCGGTTATACTTTGTGACAAAAGGGAAGAGAAAGAGAAAGTCTGTCTGTGTTCCCCCTGCTTCTGTTGATCCTCCTTCTGCTCTTCTCCTCTTGCAGTATTTCCGAGGGAGCCTCTGTCAGAGCCACCAGACCTACTGCCTGAATTACTCAGCCGCTGTCTTTTATCTTGAGAGCCTGAGGCAGAGAGAGGACTTCGGAATATATTTAAAAGTAGAGTACCATTTTTTCTTTTCTATTTTTCCTGAGACTCTTTGGGTGTTAACAGGCAATAGGAATTATTGGGTTGTCAGAAAAGTCATGACGCATTTTTGCAATGAAAAACAGAAAAAATACATCATGACTTTTCCAACAACCCAATACTATGCCCAAATTAAATGGGAAAGAAGACAAACAAATTATCAGTAATATGTTAAACTACAAGTCTGCTTTCCTCATGACATACCTTCCACTGCACACTTAAGACTTTAAAATGGTGCACACCTGGAAACATGACATCATCCAATGCCTCTCCTGAAATTTTGGCTGGGGCTTAAAATTGTTTTATTTGTTCTTCGGTTTGTTGGTGGAAGAAACTGGTACACTGTAAGGAAAAAACTAGACTAAGAACCGAGGCTTTGTTTGTGATTAGAAGTTTGACTCTTAGAGGATTTGGTCCCAGCAAGATCCCGTCGCACAAAAGCTTGGAACACCATTTACATAGTATCCTATGTGAATGGCGCCCCCTAGAGTACATCATAGAGCACCATGTAAATGTTGCCCCTGGAGTCGTACAACATGACGGCAGTGGGTCCCAAAGCATTAGAACACGGAATGTCTGCTAAGAACCTTCAGCATTTGCTAAGCCAACACGGAAAGAATTTTCCTTGACTTCCTTACTTCCTTTGACCCCTCTTTTGACATTTCTTTGTCTTAACTGTACTTTTCAATATTATATCAGAGTGCTTCCGTATGATTCAGAGAAAATAGTCCAAGCCTTTCCAGAAAACTAGCTCTTCCCTGCAGCTGCAAAGAGCCCCTGGCAGAGTATCACGCCAGAGGTGTGGGAGGAAAGGGTACCACAGCGCCCAATGATAGCTGTGAGTCAGTCCGGATGTGCAAGGCAGCCTGGGGCGGCATGGATGAGACAGGAGGAATGAAGGTCGGTGAGAGGCTTGGCCTTATTTTTTAGCTTTAAACTTTTGGTGTTTTCTTTGCTACTCAAATTAAAAACTGAAAGCTCATTAGATTTCCAAATGTATGAATAATCCAGTCACAAACGTTTTCCCTGGAAGTGGATGGATTAGACTCTCAGCCAGGCCCCCAAACTGGGGAGAATCCAGGTCCATTTCTCTCCCTTCCAAGCTAGGGCAGAGATTAACTAGGCTCAGCCACCATTTTCAAATACCTGTGGAAAATCCTGTATCGACTGTGGCATAGAAGGGTGGTTTTCATTTATATGTGAAGTATATATATATAGCATCCAAAGATATTTAGGGAACAGGGATAGAGGATACAATGTTGTAATGATAACACACAATACTTTTATAATGCATAATGCTTTACCAAGTACTTTCTCAAACATCTCTTTTAATCCCTAGCACAAAATTATGAAGTTGACTACATTGTCCTCATGTGTTCCTGAGGCTCAAAGAGGTTAAATGACTTTTGCAAGGTCACATGACCAATAGGTAGCAAAAAAGAACCTGGATAAAGGTTTTCAGGCAAAACAAACAAACAAACAAAAACAAACCAATGCTTTTTACACCAGAACTATTTGCAGCTCCTCAGAGCTATTTCCCACTGCCTGGGAACTGTTAGCATCATGAAACAAAGGTGAGGGATCAGGGAGAGACCTTGAAGGAACTGAAGGTGAACCTACCTTCCACAGCATCATAGTACGGAACCAAAGCATCATCACAGGTAATTGACAAAAATAATAATATAATAGATAAAAATGTAATGGTTATAATAATGATTACATCATAACTATAACATATAATTATAATATATAATAAATAATAAAGGTGACTGGTTCTCAAGCCCTTGCTACTGCCAGGCACTGCATTGTATGCTGGTCATCCATGATCATTTTGTCTACACAATAACCCTGTGGGATTTGTTATTAGCCCCCATTTTTCAAGAGCTTAGACAAATTAGGAAACGTGGTGAAAGATACAGTTCTTCAGGGGCAGGATTCGAATTCAGACTTGTCCGAAGCTGACGTCCATTCCCCTGTTATGCTCTGACATAAACAACGTTGTTGGAGAACTTAAGTTGTGTGGTGTTCTGCCTGCCTGGAATTGGGCTATGAGTGCACTGGGATGAATTTACCCTCCACACCGTGTGGGGCTGGGCTTTGTGAATGTCTGTACATTGTGTTGTGCACCTTGATGGGAGTAGAATTCTCTCCACTCTTTCAGAGACAGTTAAAATGATGCAGAGAAAGAGACTGGAACTTTGTACCAGGTCTTTTCGTGGGGCTCAATGAACATTCACTATCATGAACATCTACCTATCATGGGCTGAGTGTTCAAGACATGCCAGGCACTGTTTTGGGCACTTTGTATGAATTATCTCATTAAAACTGCTCACCAACCTGCTACCATTCTTACTCCTGTTAACTGCATTTCCCAGATGAGGTTTAGAGAGCTCAAGTAAATTCCCCAAGATTCCAAGAATGCGGGCTACTCCAGCCCACTGTTGTATCCCATCAAGACAGATTTATGAGAAGAATGTTTTTATGTGAACCCCTGAATTCCTTTCACTGTTCCCCTAAACACATAGGATATTTACTATAAAACAAAAGCAGTCTCCATGGATCTAAACCCTCCATTACAGAAAGGCTTTTATGTCCAATCTCTTTTGACAGAGATGATCTTTTTCCCCCTAATGGACCTGAAACCTAAAGCCAATAGAGAGATGAAACAAAAACTTATAGCTACTTTTAGAATCAATGAATATCTTTTTTTCTCTCTTCTGAGGCCTTCTGAAACACTAAAAGCTTCCAACATCTCTGCCTGAATCTTTGTCTCAATTATTTACCACTGATGTTTCTTGCCTGATTGATGTCTGGATATATTGGTTGTTCTCACATTTACTCTAGATACCAGTAAGTGCTGGCAGCCAGAGCCCTTTTCTACAGCATGGAAACTTGGGGCAGTGGCCCGCGGCTGTGTGTTTTCAGGGAATACCTCAATGTTGTTGAGAAGTCAGTTACTGGGACTCCCAGACACTCGAGCTGGAACGCTAATGCCCATGAATGAGTCAGCATGGAAATCAGCCACTAAGACCACAGACTAAGATCTCTCCTCATCTCTTCCTTTCACTCATTACTCCTCTCAGCCTATCCACATCTGCTGTTTCTGCTTTCTTCTCCATCCTTTCCAACTCCGATCAGAATTCCAGCCATTTTGGGTTGGATGAGAACTTGGAGGTGACTAGTAACTTTCGCCAAGAGAAATGTGAAGTATGGACAAGGGAAGGTGGTCCCTCAGCAAGCCTTGAAGCCTGGCTCCTAGAGCTCCAACCACCGTGCACCCTGTGCCCACTTTCATGACGATTGTGTCCCACAGAATTCCTATGAGGAAGAGCCCTGGGTGTTTTCAGAAGAAATACTTTGATAAAGTTCCTGGTGGGGGAGGGTGAAAACCCCAAGGACATGGTCCAGCTATGAAAAACAAATGCAATTTGCTAAGCATGAGGCTAGAAGAGGACTGGGGAGGAGTTGGAGGGAGGGAGAGATGGCAAAACCAGAAACCTTCCCTGAGGGCCGGGGAGAAGAAGCCAATGGGCAAACTAAACTCTAAATGAGAAGGGTAAACAAGACTGGAACTCATATATTAACACACCTTATCGCTGCCACTGATGGAACATGCATTCTCTAGGGTATTTAACAAATTTTAAACATTTCCTGTGATTCTAAATCCTGAAAATTTTCCCCATTTAAGAGAATTGAGTGGTGATATTACAGGTGATGCTGACTGCTGCTTCATCCCATTACTGGGAAAACAAGACATCTGAAAAAGGATTTTCTCTCATTCCTTTCATGGGCAAGTAACAATGTTAGTCAGTAATATTCAATAATGCTTCTTAACCACATCTAAGAACCCCATTTCAGACCCTGAATTTTGCACCGGTAGAGAGATGCTTGCTAAAGACAGTCTAAGGTGGGATTTTAAAAATCAAAGTCTAGTCTGTGGCTTATAAACTTTTCCAGCAAGCTCACAGTTGCGTCATTATCATTGCTGAGTAAAATCTCCCAGAGTTTCTCATATCCAGGCTTCTCGGGGCCTTGGTAGAAGAAGTGACATTCTGATATGTCTGCTTTTGCCTTCCCAGTGGTGTGAGCAAAATGAGCAGTGCAGACGCCTTCACCTGCCTGAGCTGCTAGTGGCCCCACTACACAGGCTGACTCGCTATCCCTTGTTGCTGAAGAATATCTGGAAAAGGAGTACAGACTCTACTGAGAAACTCTTGATCTACTCCATGAAGGAAAAGGTGGAAAAGTCAATCCGTAAGTCCCTGAGATAAGTAGCACAGAGCTCCAGGGGGAGATTCCACAAAGAGGTGGGTGGCTCTCTGGCTCCTGGGAACCATCTGGGCTTCCATCCTAGAAAGTAATTCCGTTGACTTGAGGTCATGGCTCTGGGAAATGTGGATTTCAGTTTAAGTGCATTGTAAATCAAACACACACAAAACAATGGGCTCCAGTCACATCCTGGCAAAACCGATGAAAACTCTACCACCAAGTGTATGCAGGACGTGGCTGTCTCCAAGGTTTTCAGATGTGAATTCAGGCAGGAAAAGTTCTACTTCCCAGATGATTGAAGGCACTTTGTTTTTAACATCCATACTGAGGCCAAACACAAAGCAAATGGGAATAAACACCATAGGAGGCTTTTCCGGAGGATAAATTACTATTCATCATTTTTTTAGGTCATTGAAATCCAGGGTCAATCTAAAAATAATGCCAACTGCAATCTTTAGAACTGATATTTGGG